TGCTGAATGAATATCATCTTATCTTTTAGTTATGTTCCTATTTCCACAAAATTTCGAAGAACTATTTTTTTTAATCTGTATAACACTTCCTTCCATTCAGTGTCCCCTCTTCTTTATCTTACGCTCCATGTAGGTATCCTGGTGCTACCTCAAGTTAACAGCACAAGATGGAAATTTTGTTACCTGTAAACGCTCCCTCTTGCCTAGTTTCCATGCTATCAATACCGAGGTTACTATCATTAACCTTTTTTTTCTGATAAATGCTGATGTTAAGGACCATCTTGGAAATTATACAACACAATTCATTATCCATTTTCAAATAAATGTATTTAAATGCCACTGTGATTTTAAAACATTACCAAACCTTAAAAGGGACCCATGTAAATTCTGAAAAACAAAATGCTAACCTTATAATTATCCAATTAAAAAAAAATTCATAACTTTTTCCCCCTTCTATTTATACCCTTGTTTTTAGTATGTTAAGCAGTATGCCAGTTACCGATTTGGAGTTTTAATTTTACACAGGAACTCTGTGACTCCCATAATTTTGTTAACTCAGTCACTATTTCTGTTCCTTGCTCAACAAGCTGGAGCCAGAAATACTAATTAGATGTTACCCCTTTCCACTACTAGACCATAATTACTTTGAGCCCAGCAATGCCAAACAATGATGGTTCTTCCTGTTTGGTTCTTGGCGGTTTCATTCCTTCTCTAAGCTGGCAGACCTAGGTGTGGAGTGATATTTATGAAAGTCGTAGATGATACAGCACAATGGCAGAATATCAGTAACCGATACGTATTATAATACAGTCCTAGCAGAAGGGAGTGGCTCCGAGAGTGGAAAGGAAGAGGTGAAGGTGCAGATTTGCCCCGAGATTTAATCATTCCGATGGTCCCTTCTGAAGAACTCTTTAGAAAGTGGGTTCTTCTAGAAGGGAAGAAGGGTTTGTTTAACAGTGAGGTTTTCTTTTTGTTTTTTTAAAGGACAAACATTGTAAAGTACGGTTAGTAAAACTCTGCTGATACTAAGACGAATAAGCAGAGTAAGCAGTCTTGGAAAACTCAAGCGTGGGGAGAAGGGGAGGGGCGGGATAGAGAAACACAGCGCTCAGACTGTCTCGGGTGGAAAGACATCGCCGACTGGTGGGGCCCCGGAGGCAGCGCAAGCGAGGAACCGCGCAGGGGCCGCGGGCGGAAAAGCCGGGCCCAGGGCCGCTCACGCAGGGCGGGGTTTCGGGGCCAGAGCCCGGCCGAGCCAGCCCAGAGGGTGCCGGACGCCTGCGAGAAGGCCGCGTCCTCCCGCACCCCGCCCATCGTTGGTGCTGCCAGAACGAGGGCTGGGAAGGAAAGAAGGAAGAAGTGCTAACATGGACGTGGGAGCCAAAGCAACGAGTGCCCGTGGCGGCTCCCCAAGACACTGCTGGTCTGGGGCAGGAAAGCAGGGCCCGGCGCCGCGGCCTCCTGGCCTTCCCTCTCTCAGCCCCTGTCCCACCGCACTCACTCTGCCACACGATGCTCTTCAGCCCCCGGTCCGTCACCGGAGGCGCCATCTTCCCAAACACCGCTGAGGACCAGCCGCCGCCTCCCACTCGCAACCCACTTCAGCTGTTAGAGGGGGTTCGGCCGGGCCCCGCCCGTCGCTGAGGGGAAGGCCCCGCCCACACCCACGGGCCGCGCCCTCCGGTGACGTCACGGGCGTCCGTAAGGGGATTACCGCCCACCCCTGGGCTGAGGCTGCGCAGTGCGGGTGGAATCTCCGTGGGCAGTTGCGCGCCCTCTAGCGGGAGGCTGTCAACCGAATTTCGACGTCCTGGGACGTCAGAAAGCGAAAGCGTACTGACGGATTGTGAGCTAATACCATTTTAAGAAATCCCGAATTCACGCATACGATTCATGAAAAAGGAAGGGATCCTTCGCTTTACAAAAGAGTTCTTCACTTTGCGAAGCGGTTTGTAATAGACTCTTCACTCAGTCAGCTACCGATTAGAAAATTTAGCCTCCAAAAAGTTTATTTTATTCATTTTTCAAGGACATAATCATTGTATAGAACTATGAGGTGCCGTCCACTGTGACCAGAACTCTGCAGGACTTTCAGGAAAGTCAAAATAAGGAGACCCGCTAATGAAGAATTTAAAATCTAATTAGCTCAATTCCTGGCATGCCGAAGGTAGTCAAAAACTGGTTGAAGTAGCGAATGCCTTAATGCCTTAATGGTGACAATATACATAAATGAACCAATAAAATAATAATTATTCAACAAACATAAATTCATGTGGGAGGGGCTATCAATGTTTTAGGATTTAAAAGAAGGGAATTATTGCTGATTCACAAAGGAGGTGATTGGAGCTCAGACTTAGAAAGTTTAGGCAGAGATCTATTTCCTGAGATGGTTCTTTTGAGACTTGAAATCAAAGCAATCATAGGGGAATTCCTGGCCGGTCCATTCCCGGACTCCCCACTTTCACTGCTGAGGGAGTGGGTTCAATCCCTGGTTCGGGAACTAAGATGCCGCAAGCTGCGTGATAAAAACAAAAACAAGTAGTCAATCATGAATTAAAAGAGTTTAGTTGCTGAGAACCGCCCCCCCCAACTGTAACATGACCATCGTATACTGGTGGAAAGTAGACTTTCCCACACCCATTTGCAAAGAACCAATGGTTCAAGTTGGTCACATAGGGAAGCACAAATGGTTAGTCACTACTAGTAATAACAATGGCTAACATTTACTGAGGGCTTACTATATGCCAGGCACCATGCTAAGTGGATTATCTCATTGATCCTCAAAGCAACCCTTACAGACAAGGAACCTAAGGCTTATGAAGTTAAGTAACTTGCCAAGGATGCACAGCTAGTGGTGCAGTGGGAACAAGAAATCAGGCTTGAGCTACACAGAAAGCAACAAGGCAGTCTGTGGGATAACTGGCAATTTTTGCTTTTTAGCTTTTTAGGAGAGAGAAGGAGAATGAAGAATAAAAACAGCCATAAAATGGGTTCAAGCAAAACCTATGGCATGAACGGTTTTTCCATGCAAGTCTTGTATGGGCCAAGCTGGAGCTCTGGCCTGTTTCAAACGTATTTTGAATGCACTTAGGTGGTCAGAATTTTAAACAAATGCACACATTACATTCCTCTCCCTTTTCAATTTTAAATCAGATTCTACTTAGTATACCCGGGTTGAGGCCCCAGGGATAAGAAAAAAACAAGGTACAGACTCACCCTTCTAAAATGGAGCTCTTTGTCCTAGAGGGTCAAACCAAGACAGAAGAGTGATGTGGGTGGAAGTGCCTCCATCCTCTACCCTTGAGGAGAATGACCAGGTGCCATGGGATAACATAGAAAGGCCTTTCTGGGTTGGAAGTTTGACTTGGGTCACATGGGGTATAGCTGTGACTCATGCCCCTGAAGGCCAGATTCCAAGGTGGCAGTGTGAAATAGTGGAGCAAATGTGGGTGTTAGCAGCATATAGACATGGATCCACAAACCCTGGCTTTGCCTTTAATTAGTAGTGTGACTTGAAACACTCCAGTGTCATTGCATTTATTTGTTGAATAGAGTATAATATCTCAAACTTCACAATAACCCAACAAGATGATAATCTTTATTGCCATTTTACAGATGTGAAAACAGATTCAGAGAAGTTAAATCACGTAAGACCTCAAGATGGCTCCAAAACCATTGCCCTTTCCATTGTACCACATTGCCTAACCTCACTTGCTCCCCTAGTTTCACATAACCTCCCTGAGCTGTCTCTCTAGTCTCCTTTAGTTGGTTTGCCTAAACAGATTGAACAGGAATTTGAATTCCCTGAACACGACACAGCAGAATGGAAGGTAAAACCCACCAACGCTTGTCAGAGATGAAAAGTCTGCTTTGCATAATTTGTAGAGCTGATAAACCGCTACAATGATCGAGGGCTGAATGTAAAATCTCTTGTGTTAGGGCAGTTCACTCTCTCACCATCCTATTCCCAGGTCTTCTCCTCTAATAATTTATCACTTAATCATGATAATCCAGAGAAATATTTTCCATAAAAATATCATGGATTAGCAGGTCTGATCAATGGCCCCCTGATAATTTGTGTTTCAACTGGTTAGCTGTGAGAACATGGATGAATTCCTTGACCTTTCTGGGTCTCATTTTTGTTATATATAGAAAGGAATAATATTATTATCTAGCTCACAGGGATTTTATGAGAACGAAATGAGTATGTGAAAAGCACTTAGAAGCATGTAGTATGTGCTACGTCCATGTTTTGATTTTATGTTCACCCAGTGGGGACCACATTGTCTTCTGCAGAATTCTGACCAAAGCAGCCCAGACTTAGATGCCTAGCTAAGTAGACAGGCCATTTCATTTTCTGTGTTCTGGTATTTATAGGGTATGAGTGTACCGGTCCCAGCCCCCTAGTGTCCTAGAACCAGGGATCCTGGCCTTCCATTTGGCCTTTGCCCTCGGCTCTTTGGCTGTTCCAGTCAGCCATGGACACAACTCTTTTCAGAGGGCACACCCTGCCAGCAACCGGGCTCAGCACGCAGTCTCACATGGGCTCTTAACCACAGCCCAGAACGCTGCCTCAGTTCATGGTTGACCTCACAGGGCATGGACCCACTCTGAACCCTCCAGATCTACTCACCAATCTTTCCTCACATGCCACAGCCCTCTATCTTCTGTTAAGTTAATTAAACAAGGAGGCCATTAGACTGAGGTCGTTCTCATACCTTGGCGGCCTTCCTAAGCAAACAAAAACCTAAGTCTGTAAGGGTCTCGAGGTTAAGAAATCAAAATCTAAGGATAACCAATCACAAACAGCCAACTAGGGTTTCCCAAATAAGGCAACCACTATAGCTATATAGCTATTGGCCATAGCTTTAGAGCTAATCAAATAATATCCTTGCTTTGCTTCTGCCTCTTCTCAATAAAAGCCCCATCACCACCAACACCCGCCCCCAGCACCTGTCAGTGGAGCGCTCCTAACCATTTCTGTTTTGGTGCTGCTGAATTTGAATCAATTTCTGCTCAAATAAACTCTTAAAATTTTTAATATGCCTCAGTTTATCTTTTAACACGTCTCAGCTTCCCATCATTGAAATGTTGCTTCAAGGAAGAACTCACCAAGGCAAGCCTTTTAAGGTTCCCAAACCCGGCTGCATGTCAGAATCACTTGGAGAGTTTGTTAAAAATATACATTCCCAGGCCTGGTCCCAAACCTGCTGGGTTAGAAACTCCATGGGTGGTACCCGGAAATCTATATTAAGTAATGGGTTCCCCAATTGATGTCAATACACCTAGCCTGACTCCTGTTCAGACACTGGTATTTAGGAACAAAAGTGAACTAAAACTTGGCCCTCCTCTGTGTGTGCTCTCTGATACAGCAAATTCCATTTTTCGGGATCCGTGTCTTCGTCTATGTCCTTTTCAAGTGCAGTTGCTCTGGGGAGTATCTCTCATCAGTCTTACACAGAAAGGGAAAGCAGACATAGAAAAGGAAGTTTGCTGCTCCCTCCTAGTGTACCTCAAGCCTAATTCCACGCTCCAGTTCCCTCTGGGCAGAGTTTTATGGCTGTTCCTAACAACAGACGTTCTTAGTTCCACAGCTATGCTTCTGGGGAGTAAACACTTTAGTTACGTGTGTGTTACACAAGTCCTACTCGCACTATCTTTTAATAAGGTTACTGGCACTTGAAGGACAAAATTATTTTAGGTACAACAGATTTATATTATATATAATTGCCTTTTCTCTCCAAAGATTTAAAAAAAAAAAGCAGTTAGAGTGTAAGCGGGGGCTACAGCCAGCAAGACTGACGGTCCTTCCCTATGTCACTCTGCCACCATTTGAGGCTCTGGTCCTGGCTGTCCCTCCATCTGAAATCTTTGCTCATTCAAAAACATGACCACAGTCCTTCCAGCAACAGGCCAACAGCTCTGCTTTCCCAGACACACAGAGGTCTCATCACACGATGCTTTGGCTTGGTGAAGGCTGCAAGTGGCTCAGCTTCCTCCTAACTTGAGCTGAGGGTGTTTGTTACTACAGGTGGCCCTGGCAGCTGCTGCTATCCAACCTTGGCCAAAGTCCTGGTGGAGGTTCGTCTTGGGTGAGCGCTGTCTATGTGTGGTGGCTTGATTTCGACTTCTCTGGGGGTGGACGTGTCCAACCCTTGAATGGCCAGAGGGCCACAGGGCAAGTGCTGGGGTCGATGAAATGCTTATGAAGTGGGTGTGCTGAAGTCCGTAGTATGTCTGAATGTGAAATAAAGAATTTCTGCTAAGCAGAACTTTCACATTTCCCAGTGTGCTGGCTCACTCTGGCAGCCTTCCAGAGGACTTTCTGGATTCATTTCTCTACTGAGTTCTCTCCGCAGCCGATCTTGAACTCCTGTGCAGGTGAGGTCACACCTTCCTGCAGGAAATGGAGCTAGAGTGGTTCTCTGAAGGCCAAAAGGGCTTGTCCTATCCTAGAGGCATTTTGTATTCTAATAGATCTTTTCCATCTCTAATCACACTAACAATTGAGGAAACTCTGAAAAAGATATGGGAAGAATTTTTTTAAAGCAAAGCAAAAAAAAAAAACAAAACACTTTGCCTTTGAATCATACCATTTCAATTTAAATTACTCACTAGTCAAGTCTCTTTTTTTATCCATGGTTCACTATGCCATACCGCATTTCTCTTCCCTCTGTAAATCACTGAAAAGGCAAAGAGGGGAAGAAGCCACGAAATGCATTAAATTTGCAGACATTTTCTTAAATTAAAAAGCCCTTAAATGTCTCTGAGGTTCAGATTACCATTTTAATTTGAAATGCTATTTTTGCAGCACTTCACAGCAAATAAACAAAATTAAGAGAATCTGAACTGTTCAAAGGGCAAGAAGAAACTGACCAGCAGGTTCTAACTAAGCAGGGTATTCTCTCTCCTGCTTGATGAAATGAATCCTCCCCAAGAGTCTCTTTGAGCTCAGATTACTGACCCAGGACAAAGAACTTTCCTCTCCACCCCCAGGCCTTTTATTAATTGAGCTTACTTTGGGCCTGTCATTGTGTCCAACAATGTATATCTCCTTTAATCTTCATAACATCTTATGAGGAGTTTTTTCCAATTTTCAGATGAGGAAACCTATACTTAGAATTGAAGCAAGTTGCCTCAGGGTAAGGGATGGTGGCCAGATTTGAATCCAGATCTGTCTCTTAAAAAAAATCCATTCATGCTGTTGAAAAGCTTTAGGATAATCCAAGAGTAAAGCAAGACCAAAACTCTTAGACAAAAAGATTCCCAAGGCTTCTCTTAGCATATCTGGAGGCCCCATGTCAGCCAGGGACGTAATCTGACTACTCCTGTGTATAGAGAGGAGAAATGCTGAAACTGGAAGCAATTTAGAATCTCTCCCTTAATACAGTGAATTCTGTATGATGTAGAGGCCCCCATATACTCATTTTTTGAGAGTCTTGCAGGATTTCTACAAGGATCTCCTTAAAGAGAGGGTCAGATCTCTTCAGGTTGAAGACTGAAATTGCTAAGGAAGGGAGAAGCAACGATCAGGGCCAGCCCAGAGGGACAGAGGAAGGGGACAGTAGTGACCTAGAGCAGTGCTTCTCAAACGTGGAGAGTCAGAATCACCTGGGAACCTGACAGAAACACGAAGGCCCAGGTCTTACCCACGTCAGCAGGCCTAGTTCTCTACATCCTTTATTAGCTCTCCAAGAGATTCTGATGCACACCAGAGTTTGAACACTACTGCCTAAGCAGTGATCCTCAAACTTGAACATGCATGTGAATCATCTGGGGATTTAGTAAATCTGGGTGGGGCCTAAGATGGTACGTTTTGAACAAGCGTTCTGGTGATGTTGATGAATAGCAAGGTCTAAGAGTGATGGTTTTCAAGCATTTAAAAAAAAAAAAGTATTGCGACTCTTTCTCTAACAAAATCTTAGGTAAGGGATTTCCCCCGCAGTCCAGTGGTTAGGACTCTGTGCTCCCAATGCAGGGGGCACGGGTTCAATACCTGGTTGGGGAACTAATATCCCGCATGCAGCATGGCGCGGCCAACAACAACGACAAAACAAAATCTTAGGGAAGACCAGAATACAATACACCACTCCTCACCTCTTAGGGGCCCCCAAGACACTTCTACTACCCCTCTATGGCTCAGGGGAAACACTAACTTAAAATGGCCATAATACTGGAAATAGTTTCCAAGAATGCAGACCCAGGCCCATGTACATTTCACTGAAGACCAGGGGCTTATGGTCATTAGTACTTTGGGAGTTTTTTAAAGTAATTTTTTATAATTTAGAACTTTCCTCACAGTTTTTTTTTTAACACCTTTATTGGAGTATAATTGCTTTACAGTGTTGTGTTAGTTTCTGCTGTATAACAAAGTGAAATCAAAAAGAGAAAAACAAAAACCGTATGCTAACACAGTTTGTTTTTAATAAGCCAGGTCTGTTTCCCTGTAGTCACTGGAAACAGAAACTCTTTAAAAATTAATAGGGATTATTCTTATTTCAGACCTGCAGGTGGGGCAAGAATTAGAAAGCATGAGTCCTGCTGTGCTCAGAGAAGTAGTAGACTGGGAGAGGAAATAGAGAACAGGCAGCGCAGAGAAGCATGTGTCCTACCAGTGGAAGGAAGTTTCGGAGGGGAGCTGGCCCAGGCTGGGAGGCTGTCTGGTGGGCTTTACTGGTAGGAAGGCTTCATTTCCACTCACACTCTCTGAAGTCAGCCATGTCTATGTGTATGTGTATGTGTGTTTACATGTCCCGTCTGTACTTTGGGGTTGATAATATTCCATGGGGGTTTTCCCACGACCCCAAATCAAGCAGGCCTCCTAGAAGATCCCTCGTGAAGCAGTACATGCTACTTACTGGGTCAGCACACACAGCTCTGTGTGGTCATCTCCGTGGCCCCAGCCAAGAGTAGCCTCTGTGGGGCACCCCGAATAGCCTAGACAGGATCAGCCATGAGCACACCTGAGTGGCAATGAGGGTTATCTTTACTCCAGCTGCCCTTTCAGCACTCCTTTTCCTCTGCTGGCCATGTCCACCCATGCAAACTGAAAGCAGACATCCTAGCTCTCTGCAGGCTGTTAACAGATTCCAACAGCTGACTACTAAAAGTGAGGTTAGGGACTTCCCTGGTGGCACAGTGGTTAAGAATCCACCTGCCAATGCAGGGGACACGGGTTCGAGCCCTGGTCTGGGAAGATCCCACATGCCGCAGAGCAATTAAGCCCGTGCGCCACAACTACTGAGCCTGTGCTCTAGAGCCCGTGAGCCACAACTACTGAGCCCACGTGCCACAGCTACTGAAGCCCGGGCGCCTAGAGCCTGGGTTCCGCAACGAGAGAAGCCACCGCAATGAGAAGCCCGCGCACCGCAACGAAGAGTAGCCCCCCCTCACCACAGCTAGAGAAAGCTTGTGTGCAGCAACGAAGACCCAACGCAGCCAAAAATTAATTAAAAAAAAAAAAAGTGAGGTCAGACCAGCAGTATTGGCATCACCAGCATCACCCGGACCTTGTTTGTAGTGCAAAGTCTCAGATCTTTCCTACACCTACCAAATCAGAATCTGGTTTTAACAAGGCCCCAGGTGATTCGGATGCACAATAAGGTCTGAAAAAGTCTGCTCTAAAGCAGCAGTTCTCAGCTTTGGCTACACTTTAGAATCACCCAAAGAGCTTTTAGAAACCCTGATGCCCAGACTTTACCCCAAACCAATTAAATCAGATTTTCTGGGGATAGAGCCCAGGCATCAATTATTCTTAAGCTCTCAAAGTGACTCAGTGTATAGCAGGGTTGGAAACCACTCTCTGAAGTGAGGGATGAAGCGGCTGCCTCTCTGAAACATATTTACATTTTCCTGTGGGGCCCTGGAAGACTGAAAAAATTTCAGAATCCAAAGGAGTTCATCTCCACTGGTGGAATCTGAGGGGAGACAATCTAATAGGGGAGAAAATGTTATGGGAGAGGAGAGCAAGGACCCCTCGCATCACAGAAAGAAAGCATTTGCCTTTCTAATTGAAGTCAGCTTTCTTTTTAATATTAAGGGCTGCATGAGCCTTTGTTTTTTTTAAAATTTATTTTTATTTATTTTGGCTGTACCAGGTCTTAGTTGCGGCACACAGGATCTTTGTTGCAGCACACAGGATATTTGTTGCGGCATGAGGACTTCATTGCAGCATGCACGCAGGATCTAGTTCCCCCACCAGGGATCAAACCTGGGCTCCCTGCATTGGGAGTGCAGAGTCTTACCCACTGAGCCACCAGGGAAGTCCCTGAAGAGTCAGCTTTGATCCCGACTTAAGTCACCTTAAAGAGCAACAAAAAAATTCCTTTCTATAGTATCCATGAGAAAATGACTTACCCATTCCAAGTGTACTTCCAGAGCAGGTGACTGTAATAAATAAAAACACAAGCATTTAAAATATATTTATTGATGTATTTGAGATGGTGTAGATATAATTTAAGAAAGAATAATAGGAAAGTGAACCAAAGAATGAGTAAGAATCAGCTTAGGGGATAAGAGAAGGAGATACCTGCTAATAGTATGAACTTGGACAAGTTACCTGACTTTTCTGTGCCTCAGTTTATCTGTTAAGTGGTAAGAATAAGAATGCCAGCCTCGGACTTCCCTGGTGGAGCAGTGGTTAAGAATCCGCCTGCCAGTGCAGGGGACACGGGTTCGAGCGCTGGTCCGGGAAGATCCCACATGCCGCGGAGCAACTAAGCCCTTGCGCCACAACTACTGAGCCTGTGCTCTAGAGCCCACGAGCCACAACTACTGAAGCTCGCGCACCTAGAGCCCATGCTCCGCAACAAGAGAAGCCACCGTAATGAGAAGCCTGCTCACCGCAACAAAGAGTAGCCCCTGCTCGCCGCAACTAGAGAAAGCCCACACACAGCAACGAAGACCCAATGCAGCCAAATAAATAAATTAATTAAAAAAAAATAACCTCATAGGGTTGTTATAAGGGTCAACTGCGTTAATACATGTAAAGCCCTTAGAATAGTGTCTGGCACACAGCACTCAATAAATATTAGTCATTATTATCAATTACAGTATCATCCTAATTACAGGATTAAGGCATCATTGATATTGGAGAAAAAACACACACACACATACACACACACACACACACACACACACTAAAAATCAAAAACCTTCCCCCAGATGCATGGTTTTTACTAGGGAGACAGAGCAAAGGTAGATTCCTTAACTTGAGTCTAGACACCCAACCCTTACTAAAGTGAAATGGCTACAGGCTTGAGATAACACCCCACCAAAGGTATTAGAGTTCCAACTAACAAACTATCAGAGGAATGACTCTTTAAGGGTTGAATTGTGAGTATGAAGTAGGAGAAAGAACAGACTTCCATCACTCACTTACTGGCTGTATAATCATAGACAAACACATATGCTCTTTTATTCATTCCTTTTAAAATTTAAAATGTATTGGGCAACAGTTACATGCAAAGTACTGAGAGTCCAAGAGATTATCGTTTAGCAGAAATAACACACATTCAACTCACAGTAATATGGTGTGGTGAAGATAAGAGTGAGGTGGAGTCATAAAGGAGGGAAGCGAACTCAGACTATGAGAACTGGAGAAGACTTTAGAGAGGAGGGAGAGTTTGGGCTGGTGGAGTTCCCTTGGTTGAGGTGGGGTGGAAATCCAGGCAAAGAGAGGAGTGCTGCATTACCTCAGAAACATGATGTGCCATGGTATGTGTGTGTGCCAAGGGCAGAGGTGTGTGAATTGTTCCATGTGACTAGAGAACGGAGTCTTCTCAGGAGAGATGTTGCAGAATGAACCTAGAATTGTACTGTCCAATACAGTAGCCACTTACCACATGTAGCTATGAGCATTCCAAATGTGGCTACTCTGAACTGAGATGTGCTGTATTAAATAAATGCACACAAGATTTTGAAGACTTAGTATAGAAAAAATATATAAAATTTTTATATTGATTCCATGTTGAAAAGTAGAATATTTTGGATTAAAATTAACTAAAATATACTATTAAATTAATTGTACCTATTTCTTTTTACCTTTTTAACATGGCTACTAGAAAATTTAAAATTTTCACACTTGCTTTAAATTTCTATTGGATAGTGCAGGTGTAGAAAGACAGATGGGGGACAGATTGTAAGGGACCTTAAATGCCATGCTCAGAGGATTGAATTTTATTCTATGGGGCAATAGAAAATTTCTGAGGATTTTGAGGCATGAAAGAAAGATAGTTGGGTCAGTGTCCTAGAATGACAACTCTAGAAATAGTATGAAGACTGGCAAGAGGGCAGGAGGACAGGTCTGGTGTAGTAGCATAGGGGAGAGGTAGTAAGACCCTGAAATATTGAAGTAGCTATAGGAATGCAGAGAAGAAGCTGGATTTAGAAACCATCATGGAGTGGACAGGACAGGGCTGGGAGACTACTAAAACATGGAGGGTGAGGGAGAGGGAAGCTGACTCCTGGGTTTTCAGCTTGAGTACTTGAAACAAGGATGACAGAAGATCAAAAACTGCAGAAGATCAGAAATTCCTTTTAGCCTTGAGGAGTTGAAATGCCTGGGTCTTATCTCTAAGTAGATATAACACATTTGCATATGGATTTAGGGGTTAGAAGAAGAGAAGGGTTGTAGGTAGAGATTTGGGAGCCTCTGAGTCTCAGTTTGTTCATTTATATATTGGAGATAATAAAATCTGTTGAACCTACCTCATAGAGTTATTTTGAGCGTTCAGTGAAATATTGAATATGAAAACGCTTGATAAATTTCAAAACATTATGCAAATATAGTGAAGTATTGTTGTTGACCTGTAGGCTCTTCTTCCTAAGAGCTCATCCTCAGCCCAACAACCTATTCCTGGCCCTTCCCATAGGGCCATGCTTTGGGCCAGCTTGTCCTCTGGACAAGATAATGAAAAAGCAAGGAATCAGAGCATGACAACCAAGGACAGCAAGAACACCCCCTGAAGAGGACCTGGCCTCATTCCATCACCAGAAGCCATCTTGAACCTTCTTGTCACCAACCCATAATTGGAAATTTTAGATTCTGGTTATTAGTAAAGTTTCTGAGCCAATATTTATTCCTCTTCTTGTGTTCACCTGCAAAGTTCTAGGGCTTCATCATCTCTTCATTTTATTTTGTTTTAGAAATATATGAAAAATACATGACTATGCCCTGGGCAAGGTAGCAGAACGTGTTGGAATACAGAGCAGGAGAATTGCTAATGTTTTTCTGCCAGCTCTGGTGAGATGGCAGTGGCTGACATTCGTGTATTTTGTGATCACAGACTGTCTGCCCACTCATATTTCCAAACCTAGCTTATGATTTATAAATTTGTTTTTTTCTGATCCTCCAACTCTCCCTCAGTCATAAGCCTGAATCTGTGCAAATAAAGGTTCAAGTCTCTTATTTCAAACATTTAGGTTGTTTGTCATGATCTCTAACGCTATGTTACAAACCTATCCCCAAATCTCAAAGCAGAAAATCATTTTAAATCTGCTTTACTGTTTAAGCAGCAAGCATCTGGTCCTTTTTCTGAAGGAGAAAAGAGAGAGAGGGATGAGAGGAGTGTCTCCAAATCAAGTAATAATAAAGCATCACAATTCCAAAGAAGCTTGGGGTCCCCAGTAGCCAGAATCTGCCTGCAGGAGGTACACAGTGTCATGCCCTCTTTGACCTTCCTACATAGCAAATAAGTGTGATTGTTCTGAGTCTTAATTCACAGATTGAGTTGAGGGCTAGTTTTAAATAAAGGGTCATAATTTGTCCTACCTGAATATATTTTTTTTGGACAGAAAGTAAGCTTCAGTCCTGTTTCAGCAACTGGGGAGACCATCACGGTATATACATCCCCGCAGGGTATCTCGGTGATATCACAGAAACTGAGGCCAGCGCTTGGGGCACACGTGAAAATGCCTTTGGAACCATAGAGGTCAGTGCTGTAATTGGCAGAGCCCCTGGACGCCTGCCAGTGGATCCGGATGCCATTAGGGACCAGCCTATATAATTTCACCCCCAAAGGGCAGCAGGAACCTGAAGGATAAAACAAACAAAAACAAACACATCACTATTCCACCATCACCACAAACCTGGCCTTTGTTACTATGGGGAAACAACATAAGTAGCCTACTCAATAATAAATGATTAGAGCAAGATTTGAGGGAGTATTCAAGTTCCTTCTGTGGTGGGTCACATGATTAGAAATCCATGTGTGAGGGTGAGGTGGGGCATGAGTTTTTAATAGAGAACAATGGTGAGGCCAAAAAGTCCACGCTTGGCAGATATGTATTGTATATGACTCAAGCTTTATGAGTCAAATGCACAGAATTCTTGTCAAGATCTTTCATAATGCCCTATTTTCATATGATTTTAGTGGGATTCAATTTAAATATAATTAAGTGCATTCAGCATTTTGCTGAGCTGAGTAGCATGACGCCTGTCGCTGGTCCACTCTTCATGCATGCTAGCTGACTGGGTACTTTTCCTTTCTCTTTTCCTGAATACCTTGAGCAGGCCACATATTAGGTGTCAAATGGTGGATTCCTCAGTAACTAAAATAAAAATGCTATCGTATAATAATAAAAAATTCAGTTACAGATAGACTTCTTTGATTTATTATTTAAAAAAAAAAAAAAAAAGGTTTTTTAGGTGTGAAGGTAAGCAATGGGCCATATTTCCAGAACTGGATATTAAGGTGAAAAATTAGGCAGCAAACCTAATGAAAGCTAATAGGCCAAAAGGAATGATAATTCAGCTTATGTATGTGTAGCACATTTTAAGTGCTTTCATATCATGATCATTCCTATTTCTCTTACCAATGAGGAAATGGAATCAGAGAATAAGATAACGTGGTGCAGCTTAAGAAGCCAGGTCTTTAAGCTCCTAGTTGAAGACTCACTCTTCTACCTTGGGATGCCAAGATTATATTTTAACTCTCCCACCCCATGCCTCGGGGCAGATACAGCTAACTGGTCATCGTACTCTCTCCCATTAAGCCTGAGAAGCATCCTTAGAAGATTTTTTCAAAACAGTTCTCCAAGCAGCCACTTCCGTGGACTAGAATTACACCAGAGAAATCTTATTTGCTAACCCTGTACCACTCCCTACTTCTCCCACTATTTCCTAGTGGCTTGGTCTTTGTGAAGAGCAAGATGCAGTACTGTGCTCTGTTAACCTGTTGAAATAAGAAACCATAGAAGAAGCTGGAGTGGTTTAGAAGAGTGAGGTAGTAGCATAAGAAGAAGAAGAAAGAAAAATTCAAGCCAAATAGAAGGTGTGATCTAAATGCTTTCTGAAAACTCTGCCAGACTGAGTTACTCTGTGCTGAAGGTAGCTGGGTCATATAAAAACCTACCCTTCTTTCAGAAAAAGTACACCTGAACCTTGTTACCAGGGGAGTTAATTCACCAACTACTAACAGAAGCCTCTGAACCTTTGAGGTCCTAAGTCAAGAGGAAAACTGTAAACATTTGAGAAAGTAATCTGAACTTACCATGCAAGCTTGGTGGAGATGCAGCATCTTTTAAAATGAGATGGAAAGGCTATGTCTGGATCTATAATAGTCAAAGTCCTTGTTGCTACTCTGGAGCTAGAGGTTAGAATTCACTTACTCGAGGAATAACTTTGGTAGCCACAGTCCGCAGTCAACCCAGTGGCACTAATTGCTTTTAATGCCACTGTGTAATTGATGCCGCATGTGATGCATCCCAGGAGGCAGTGGTTTTGATGGGTGTGACACTTAGACTGTCCAGTGTGTGACTCCAGAGCTGTCACATAGGTTTGGGCGCCGGTCCCAACAGTCCAGCTCACGTTGATTACCGATTGTGTGACCTGAGTTACTGTCAGACTGGCTGGACAGCACGGCACTTAAATGAGGAAAGAGAAAAAAATTGGGGATTTATTTCCAGTGAGGGTTATTTGTGAAAACTAACCAAGTATGGTATTTTGCCTGTGTCTCATTCAAGATCCTAAATTTCTCAAACCTTCAACTGTTAATCAAAATGTCCTTAATAACTGTAAATGGAATATAACCTTTAAAAATTGTGAATCACTATATTGTAACTTCTATAACATTGTACCTCAACTATACTTCAATAAAAAGATAAATTTAAAAAAACTTTAAAAATTTTCTTTTGTTAAGTAAAATCTCATTCCCTCTGATACGTTATTTAACATCACTGTATATAGCAGGTGCTTTCCCCAAGAATGCAGCGCAATAACTGGCTATGGGTAATGTGAGATTCTCCCCAATTTTTTTCAGAATAAGAAAGAAACCCTTTGTTGTTCTCCAACTTTAACAATTCCAATTGCAAATTTTAAAGCAATGGTTGCATTCACCTTTTCTCCCAATATATCTTAACGTTTGCAATGAAATGTATTTTGCCTTTCTCATGCATTTCATAGTACATAGCTGATATAAAAGCTCAAAATATTCTTAGCCACCTAAGACTACCACAACCAATTCTCAACTTTTCAAAGATCCATTACACAGGATATAGAATATCTGGAAACCTCCTGCGTATTTGGCATTGTCTCTGTTATGCTGCTCTTTACATTTCAACTTATCGAGTCTAAAGTGCCATCTATCGTTGTATATAAGAGAAAATAATGTCCAAAGGCTTTAATTTGCTAAATTTCATTCACACACAATGCTATGAAGCAATAACAGCTTTCGTTTATCGTGCTCTTACTGTGCGTCAGGCACTCTAAGTGCTCTGCAGCATAAATAACGTAATATTCACAGCCACCCGATAAAGCCATTATCCCCTTCTAGCAATTAGGAAACTGAAACTCAGAGATCAGTTTTTAGAGAAAGATTTGAAAGGGCTGAACTAAAGAAATAAATAATAAACTAGCTCATTTGGTCACTTGTTAGTTGTTTTGGTAGATTGTGTCATGGGGGAATACGAACTCAAATAAATGTTTTTGCAGAGTCAATGTATTCCTCCTTTGATGTTGGCATTTGAATATATTAGAGCCTTCAGATGATACTTTTACAGAACCTGTGTGAAAGTTTTCTAAGACTGGGGCTCTTTGAAAGGCCTCTCTGAGTTTAAGGTATTTCTATCACACTTAGGGTAAATCAAATAAGAAAGTTCATGTCCTAAAACAATTCCTAAGGACCCCATTGAAGTTGAGGTTCAGGCTGTGGTTGCTACATACCCGTTTCTAAGGGCACACTGTAGCTGGGCAGGCTCCGTCCTGCTGGTGTTTCAGCCACAGCGGTGACGGAGAACACTGAGCCGCAGGGCAAGCCCCACAAGGTGCAGGACTCTCCCGTGCTGCTGCACCGGTGCAGCCCTTTCTCTCCCTGGGCAGTCACCGTGTAAGTGGCCTCAACATTAGTGGATCGCCAGTACACGTTAATCATGGAAAAGGCATCCTTCGAAACATTTTTGATTTCAGGACTGCAAGGAGCTAAGAGATTTTAGATTATGAATTGAAACAGTCAGAATCAAAAATATCACACGTGCCATTTGGTCTAAAACTGACCTTCCCCCCCCCCCCCCCCCCACCCCCCGCCATATGAGATCATTACTTTCGACCATACCATGCACAGAGGGCAAATTCATAGAGCCTTTGTGTGGAAACCTTGTTGACATTGACATATGGTATTGGGTTCCCATAGCGTCAGACTAATTAGAAAATGTTAAGGAGCCATTTGAACTCCAATAGCGAAAGTAATTAGGACAAACATTTGTGGCCTTAACCTTCATGGTGTGAATACAGGCAGGCGCCCCAAAGGTAGGAGGAAGTGAATGGCTGAGGTAATCTCTAGCAAAACCTTCCACTCTCCCCATGGTCTCCTATTTCCGTTTTGTCCTCTTTCCCTCTTCCACCTTCTCTTCTGCATCTCCTTAGTAAGACGGGGGCTCTCAGGGTCACCACAACAGGGTGGCTAATGGCAGTTAGCCTTTTCACCGAATGCCCTTCCTGAGGGACATAGCTGGGGGGAGCCGTTCAGAATCAATGAATGAAATCTTTCCTGTATCATACCTGTGGTTATAAATCGGGAAGTACACGATGTATTGCTGCCCCGGACTTCACTGAAGGAATACACCGTGATGTTGTACTTGGTGTCACACTCTAGAGCAGAAAGGGTGCAAGCCGGAACAGTGTCATTGCATTCAACCACGCTGAACCCATCTACAGCCTTGGTTTCATAAAGTTCGGCACCACGGACAGGAGACCAGACGATCTCTACTCTGTCACTGGACACCAACACAGGGTTAATGTCACCAGGACAACAGGGGGCTGAGAGCAGGAACAGAGAGAGAGCGGAGGTCAGTACAGGAGCCATGCTGTCAGAGTGGCATTGAGTCCTGGCGTCTCTGTGCCCAGAGCCTCTGCACTACCCTCCTAAGTCACTGCAACAATCTCCTACAGGTCTGTCCAGCTCCAATCCTGGCCTAACACCCATTACGTAGAGGATAAATTCTCCATGCATGACATTCAAGCTTATTACAAACTCTACCCAGTCGATATGTCCAGCTGCCCCTCCCCATCCCCTGCCTCACCAGACCCCTCAATTCCCACACGCGCTTTTATTTCCCTATGCCTCAAAGATTGTGTCCGTGCTACTGGAATGAGGTTCCCTTCTTCTGCCTGACAAAATCATGTTTAGTTTAACTTTAGATCCTATCAGTCTTTCCAGACACTAAACTAGATAAAACTAGGGGGTGGAGGAGGGGAAGAAGCATTGTATTAGTAGATTTTAGAAGAGGCCCTACACTACCTCACAGACAAATTCTGACAGGTGTCTTAACTCACATGGGGTTTCTCTGGAATGCTCTTGCCCCACCTACATTCCACCATCCTTAAAGGCCTCTACCAGAGGCCACTCCCTCCGGTAGACCCTCCTGTGCTCTTGAGACCTTATTGATAGCCTCTGACTCTAAATTCCAAAAGCACCTATTATTTGATTCCTTCATCTTGGTAAAAATGTAGGGGCCTAGGTTCGATCCCTGGTCAGGGAACTAGATTCCACAAGAATGCCACAACTAAGAGTTCACATGCCACAACTAAGGAGCCCTCCTGCTGCAACTAAGACCAGGTGCAACCAAATAAATAAATATTAAAAATGTATTCCAGCTAGTATTATTATTTATATAATTATATTATTCTTGTTTGTCAATATAGTTAATTAATTTTGTCACTCACTCCATTCATTCTTTAAAAATCGAGCATCTCCCATATGCCAGTCATACTATGATAAGCATTCAGGATGAGAGTTAAATAAAATACAATCCCTGCCCTTTGAAGACCCAAGCCTAGTGGAGAATAATAGTAACAATAATAATGATGTTAATAAAAATATTTGCATTGTGCTTTTCTCATATACAAAGACCTTTTCATATTCATGTTCTCATTATTATTTGTCCCATTTTGCAGTAGCAGATACTAAGGAACTTAGCAAGGTAGACATCATTATTCCCATTTTGCAAATAAGTTGGTGGTCAAGTTAGGACTTAAACCCAGGTGTCCTACTCCAAAGTCCTCCACACCTTGTAGAATCTTTGCCATTGCATCCCTGTTTTCTGGGCTCGCGGAAAGAGTGAACTCTGAGACCTAAGGATCACCTCCCCTTCAGCCTTCAGCACAGGGCTGAACACTGAGTAGATCTTGGTGGAGGGTTCAACTTTTCAGAGCAAGCTTCAATAAAAACATTCTTTCCCTTCTTTTCACTCCTAAACCTTTCATTCTTATTAAGCTTGAGTCCACGAAGTCCAAGTTCCCTAGCCTGGAAAGGATGTGAAAGAAGAGATTCACTTTCCATTCTTGGCCCTAGAATGGCTCCCAGGTGGTCTAGGTAAGTCAATAAGTGCAATGGATGATCCATTCTGCTGCTGAGTTTGGTGAACTCAGAACTCAACTCCCTTTACAAGCATCAAGTGCAGCTCACCTGTGGTATAATTAAACACACCACCCAAAGGACTCTGTCCTGCCTTGTTATAGGCAAAAACACTAATAAAGTATGTGAAGCCACACTCAGATAAGAAATTGCACTGGGTGAGGGAGGTGTTGCAGTGTACTTCCAAGCCATCGTCATTCTTCACAAAGGCCACATAGTAATCACCCAGATGCACGCTGGACCAAACCACAGACAGGTGGCCAGGGGGATCTTCTTGGATTGTCACCCTTCCAGGTGCACAAGCAACTAGGAAATGATAAATAATAAACAGTTGTGAGAGTACTGCAAGAGATTTTCTTTGCATCTTTCTATGCAAGTAGCTCTTCACTAAATGTTAGTTCTCATCCCCCAAACACACAGATATTTCTAAATTGAAGCACAGACCTCCACATATGTATGTCTTTATCTCTTCGATGAGAATGAAAGTGGGAAGATATCTAAACACATATTCCAAACTATAGACATTCCATCTTTATCCTAAAAAAATAGCTCCTACCAGGCCTAGGTCTGTGAAACATGATGTAAATAAGAGACCACTATCTGTACTGCACAGCTAGAGTTGTGTATCACTCAAACTGGATCCTAGAATATTTACAACTGTACAAATGCAAAAGAAAATAAACTAATTAGTGAAAGATCTGGAATAGGAACCAGGTTTTCTAATTTTCAGTGTTTTTTCCAATGCACGAGATCTGGTTTCACTATCAACATGATTCAAACTCATCAGAAAGTCCAACTCAACACTTTCATTTAGACCAGGCTTTCATTTTTGCTTGTTCTAGAGCGTTCTGGAACATTGTCATGTGATTATTTGTTTCCCTAATGGTAGTCACTTTGGCTTACCAACCCCCCAGTGATCTCACTCTCCCTTACATACCAGTTCTCAGGGTCACTGCTGAAATTGATCTGCTAGATCCGGCATCATTAGTTGCTAAAACTGATATCAGGTACTCGGTTCCACACTGGAGAGAGGAGATGGTGCAGGAACTGAAAGTCGTACTACAGCTCAGCCTGGAAGAGTCACTCAAAGCCATCACGGTATAGTTGAAAGCTCCTTCTGTCGGTGCCCATGAAACATATGCCTTCAGAGAACCACTATCAAAAGAGACTTGAATGTTGGCAGGAGCACGAGGACCTACATTTTTTGAGAAACAATTAAGATTTTTGCAGTAACCTCAAGAACCCAAGTAAGATTTGACCTAACAATATTGCAGAGCTTGGAGGATGGAGTACTCCAATCATATGATACTTGCAAGTGTACAAAGCATAAAATTGGGATTTAGGGTACCTGAGAACTGGTAACACATCTCCCATTAACTATGCAAACTCATAACTAGCTATATGACTTAGGCCATGTTATTTAATCTTTTTGTTATTTATTCATTTATTTTTCTCATCTGTAAAACAGATCCTAGCACATAGAGGTACTAAACAAATATCTTGAATAAATGAATGAGTGAACGCACAATTTGATAAGTGATAGAAATAATTAAATGAAATTATAAATGTGAAGGGCTAAGAGGGCCATGTGGGTATGTTATCAAGTGGTAGGTCAAATATTCTCCTATAGATTGATAAAGTTAAACAGATTAGTTTCAACAACATTCCTTCTTTACTTTTGACACGTGCTAAGACATGTAAGAGCTTTTAGGTCACAGCTGTTTACAGAAGAGAAGACTTTCTATTCTAAATCAAAGGGAAAAAAGGAAAGTATCAAGTGTGATGGTCACACAGGAAGGCAGTTTTTTAGCATCTCCAAAACGATTTCCTCTGCATTCTTAGAAATACGCCTTCCTTTCGTCAGGCTTATCTGCCTAAAAAAGCTTGAGGCCCTCAATAAATGTTTGTGGAGAGAAAGAATGAGTGAATGTGTTGGAAGAGGCCCAGAGAGACTGGTTTGTCACAGACATCCTGACTTACCAGGCCCATCATGAATCACCTTAGGGCCACCTTGCTCTGATTTCTACCTGGAGAAGTAATATAAAAGGCAAACCCTTCACTTCTCCCTACATTTCTGCTTCGGCCTATAGACAATGGGGCTTCCACTCCCCTCCAAAGTAGGAACTGTTGGAGAGAACATTTCTGGTTTCTTTCCACTTTATCCTTGGTCCTCCCCAAGAGATGAAACAGCTAATCTGGTTGGTGAGTCCGGCACCTCCTAGGCCATATTGTCAGAGGATGACTCACTCTGCCTCAAGAGAAGGAAAAATCTCTCTCCTTCCCTCTCTCTCCATCTCATTCTTTTGGCTCAGAGCAGCAGCTCAGTTTGGGCATCTAGTTATCATGTCGTAGGATGCCCCGGTCAGGCATCCCCACAATGGGGATTGTGAGAACACACACCATGCATCAGCTTCCCAGCCTATATAGCTGGAGGAGAGGTGGTGGGAAGCCCCTCGTTGACCTCAGGCCCAAACTGAGGACTTTGGGAAATATATCTGAAATATTGATTCCCACCACAGCACAAAATGCCATAACAGGAAGTTTGCTTTTTTTGTTGCTGTGCCTCCAGAGCAATGCCAGCTGAAAGTGGGGACACACTCATTAAATGTCTGCTGAATAAATTCTTGTTTGGCCCAGTTCTTTTTGTCTCTACTCCTGGTCTGAACCTATGAAGGGACAAGGGGTGACTGGTAAACCTAATAAGAATTATCTCCTACTGTGTTATATTGAACATGTAAGCTGAAAATAAGTTGGCTCTGGGTGGGTGGTGCTATGCTCTGTGCGCTCTGAGCAGCATTTCTTTTTTTCTTTTTTTTTTTTTTTTTGCGGTACGCGGGCCTCTCACTGTTGTGGCTCCTCCCGTTGCGGAGCACAGGCTCCGGACACGCAGGCTCAGCGGCCATGGCTCACGGGCCCAGCCGCTCCGCAGCATGTGGGATCTTCCCGGACTGGGGCAGGAACCCGTGTCCCCTGCATCGGCAGGCAGACTCTCGACCACTGCGCCACCAGGGAAGCCCTGAGCAGCATTCCTTTACACATGCCGTAAGCATTTAAACCACCGAGGAGGAATTATCAAGACACTATAAATAAGCTCATAATAAATTTAAATAGCTGCAGCCAGCTGCTCTTTGCTTATCACTTAACGCTGCTCTCAGTGACTGCAATGCACAGCCATTCTCATTAATCAAAAAGGAGAAGGTTGGGACTGAGCTGCGAAGTCCTTACCTGTTCTCTGATTGCAGGTGGAGTCATCCCCAGGTGTTCCGCTGGCATTCCACGCATAGGCCTTTATGGTGTAGAGAGTCCCAGCATCTAAACTGGTGAATGTCAAGGAGGTGTTGGTGGTATTTTCTTTCCATATTCTCCCCAAACCATTAGCTCGCATAATGGACACAGAAAATCCAGTTGCCATATATACGGTTTCCCACTGCACAAGAATAGAGTCTGGACTTGGAGAGCTTACTTGTAGAATTGGTGCAGCCAGCACTACAAAGACAAAAACCTGTGCATTTGTGTTATGAAAGTGCAAGAGAGGCTAATTCAAATTTAGGAATAGGTAATTTGAGGTTGATTATCCATATTATGAAAAAATTATTTACTTTGCAATAGGATTCATGACAGAGTTCCATTAAACAATTGTTATTTAAATGTGTATTAATTACAGATGACTCAGCAGAAGAAGGGGGAACAGAGAAATTCTAATATTAGGCATACCTTCAACTGGAAGTTGGTACGAAATTAGATAAAACCTCCCTGTAATCATAATATAAATCAATGGGGGGAATGATAGTTTATACTATTTTAACATGCACGCAACCTTTCAGAAATATGCTGAGGTACAACTTTATCAAATCAATTTAAGTCATGCTGATGACAAACTCTAAATAGTTTTATTTCCAACAAGTCAAAGTGCAGCAAAATCACTTCTATGTGTTCTTTATTCCACATGGTCTTTATTGATAATTGAGGTTAAAAACAGAAATCCCTGGGCTTCCCTGGTGGTGCAGTGGTTGAGAATCCACCTGCCAATTCAGGGGACACGGGTTCGATCCCTGGTCCAGGAAGATCACACATGCTGCGGAGCAGCTAAGCCCGTGTGCCACAACTACTGAGAGTGCACTCTAGAGCCCACGAGCCACAACTACTGAGACCGTGTGCCACAACTACTGAAGCCCGCACACGCTAGTGCTCTGCAATGAGAAGCCTGTGCACCGCAACGAAGAGTAGCCCACGCTCTCCACAACTAGAGAAAGCCCGCGCACAGCAATAAAGACTCAATGCAGCCAAAAATAAATAAATAAATTTATAAAACAAACAAACAAACAAAATGAAACAGAAATCCCTTTTTCAGAGATTTAAAAGCACGGATGCTTTTAAAGATACCCAGAAATGGGTTTTATTTTCCAAAGCATCTGGGATTTACATACCACCTCCTCCACAGACATTTGAATTCCAAAAAAAAGTCACTTGGTGGCTTTCACTTCTGGGCCTTGAATCATAGACATTCACATGACACAGAACTACATCATGCATTTGCATCCTCAGTATAATTGATCCAGGTCACAAGCAATTGCTCAACAGAGGATGAGCATCCAGCTACCTGTCTTTGCCTGTTTTGGAGGCGATGCCTGGCTTCTCCCAGCAGGACTGATGGATCTGATGGTGATTTGGTACAAGGTTGCAGCCTTCAGGCCCGTCACAGTGCCTGGGGAACTGGCCACCACGGTTTCAATGACAGCGTTCCTGTCTCTGGCCGTGAGGAGGTAACTGGTGGCCCCTGGCACTGTAGCCCATTCCACAGTGATACTGTTGCTGATTTTTGAATACGCCTGATCGATAGTGGGTATTTTGGGAGCTGAAAGAGATTTTGAAGGTGTACATTAGCTAGGGTACCTGTAAGGATTACTTCTTTCATCATTTTACTTTCAAACTAAGTCATTCTCATGTCATCCTTCAGACATAAACCTTGCCCCTGTTTTCCAGATTAAGAAACAAACAAACAAACAAAAAACAGAGGAAAAGAAAGGCAAAGCTACTCTCCAGAAGAGAGCAAGAAAGCTCAAACCTCCCATTCAGGAATGGGACTTCAAAGAGGTTTTTCCCAGTTGCCTCCGGGATAATTTGCACTTTTTGTACTTTTAAAAGAGTTAACTAAGAGTAGGGAGTGATTTGGGAGAAGAACTCTGAGGGGAGGGAGAGAGAAACTGAGGACTCCCATTCTGGAGGCTAATCCAGTCTGGCGTTCTGTGAATCCCCAGGCATGCTTTGTCACGGGCCTCCCCTCCCTGCCCCACCTCTATGCGACGTCTCCAGCAAGGGTCCACCTTCATACCCCACCTCTGTCGAGGCTGTGATTTCCACCCACGCACCTTGCACATTTTCCAAGTGGCATTTAATCTAATGGAGGAAGGGGGAGAATTGAGTTCTTTGCTTTATAATTGAGCATACTATCTTTAATATTATCAGAGTGTAACAATTTTCAGATTCTTCTATATAAAATAAAAATAAACTTTATTCTCTCCTTCTCTATCAAAACATCTGCCCCAGCCTAAGAATGAGATGCCGGGGTCCCTCCTCACCTGGGCCTGGCCATGGTTTGCCAGGAGGCCATGAATGCTTATGTCATGAGTTTACACAAGGCATTCCTATACTTTAGGCATGGGGTAGAAGATACAACGTGGTAATCAGATTTACTACTCTGCAAAACTCCATGGACTCAAAAATGCCCTGGGTGTAGGAGGTCCAAGTAGAAGAAAAGGTCAAACAAAAATATCTGGGTTTTAGGTTTGAAGCTGGCAACTGGTCTTTTATATTTATTGTACTGCATTTGCTGGGTAAAATCACTATATGCCAAGTTCAAAACTAAAGTGCAAAACAAAACTCTAGGGCAAAGAGGAGAAGTAAATACCGTCCAAATGTGTGATTTGCCAGTATCAACTCCCTCCCTCCAACAGACCCTAACCTGCAAAACGTGATACAGACAACTTCTCTTTCTGTACCCATAGCCCAGAAAGCTGGCTTTGGCAGCATCTCAGAAATAACCACGCTGCAAGAATGAACAAAGAGTCCACTGTGCACTGGCCAGACGTTCCTTGAACATCACCCAGGACTGTCTCCTTTGCCATCAAAAGAAAACTATGATGGTTATAAATGCTGGGGAAAAGTTGCAGGGGCTCATCTTAGCCATTTGCCAGCAGAAGCTGACTCTGTGGGAAGCGCCTATGTCCCCTCCCTGTTGTAGGATAGAAAGCCCCCACAGGGGTCTCACATTTATCCCTCCTACACACTCATCCCTTTTCTGCTCCCCCAGTTATTTGTTCTCTGTTAATACCTTCTTTCCTCTAACTTTGCGGTGTCTCTCAATCCCTGCTGCTTCCTTTGTCCCCATTGTTCATCTTATCTCCTGTTAGCCGGTCCTGCTCATTGAAATGGACGAATTTCCTGGATAAATGACAACCAAACTAGACATTGTCGTGACAGTGCCTTCATGGAGTGGCTTGAAAGGCATCTAAAAGGCTGGCATGACACCGGCTATCTCCCCACAGGCCTGTCAAGGGGCCTGAGGACTCCACAAAATTTGCCGTATTGAATTGAGCTGGGAGGGGCACATTTGCCCGGCATAGTAGTACATGAAGCCAGTATCAGCAGGATGAAACGCGGGGTCTCATGATGGGAAAATAGCAAAGGATTTGGATTTCAGAATGCTGGGTTTGAGCCCTGGCTCTGCCATTTACTTCTGTCTGTGAAGACGTACAAGTGATTTAACCTCTTCTAGTCTCAGTTTTCTTCCTTGAGTATATGGAATTTTAATAATTCCTACATCTTTGAGTTTACTTTGAAATGTAAAATACTTACATCTTAAGATGGTAAAGATTAAGTAAAATAGTGAATGTAAGGGCACATTGAAAGGTAGGAAGGGTTAGTGTGTGTGTGTGTGTGTGTGTGTGTGTGAACCACGACGAGCAATTTTGGGGTTTGGAAAAGCCAGACTGCATGGCACTGCCATGGAGGGGTTGCTGCCAGGGAAGGTGGGATTATGGAGACTCTGGGGTAAGCATGGGCTGGAGAGACAGATTGCCTGTTTACACATGGTTCTAGAGCAGGATCTGACCAGTAACAGCAATGAAAAAAGATCAACACCTCTGTACTATGTTTCCCTTAAAGAGATGAGAAGATTGAGCAGGACGTGTAAGTCTCCATAAATTAGCAGCAGTTCTTCACTCTTTCTTTGTTCTGTATTTGGCCCGCTTACTGCACTGATGAAAGAGAAAAATTTATTCCCTAGATTTGCAATCAACCACTCTGATTAGTCAAAAATGAAACCCTTTGAGTCACAGTATCTGTGCATTCTACCAACTCAGAGATCTAAATTAGACCACGTGGCCCCAGTGGCCAGACACAGATAAACAGCCGATGCCAGAGCCCAAAAAGAATCAGAATACACACACCCCAAATGAAACCTCCTAAACAGTATCAATAAAACACATCACATCTATTGAAAACACAGGATGAATCAATTAACAGCATCACCGGTATATCAGTCTGCCCTTTTCTTTTTCCCGAATAGTGTGGATAACGTGGGACTAAAAAGAGGCCTGTTCTGAGGGCTCAGTGTGTCCTGTGGTCCTGGGACCCTCTAAGAGACAGCAGAACTAGATTTTATCCAATTGAAGGACCACTGATTTTTTAAAAATCACTTTGTTTATGGCCAAATAGTCCTTCTCACAGCTTCCTGGTCAATCCTGAAGGTGTCTCAAGAATAAGTGAGTAAGAATAAAGCATGAAATAATAATTTTTAAAAACCTATTGTATAAGCACAGATTTTATGGCTCAGCCAAAAATCTATATCAAACATTTTAATTGCCTTATTTACATTTCCTTTTCTGTGGTATATACAAAGTAATAAATAATTTTTGTTCTTATTTGTGCTGAATTACTAAGAGACTTTATTGGTGATATAATTGATATTATATGGTTCCTTCAGATAATCTAAATTCCACTGAACATAAGTTTCCATTCTAGGGACTTAAATTTCTAGAATGTATGAGCCAGGAGAGGCCTGTAGAGAAATTATCCTTGCCTTCAGTCATTTATTCAAGAAAAATGGGATAAAATCTCTTAAAATAAAGCCTTTTTCCAGCTCTGGGTTTTAAGGATGCAATATCAGAAGTATAAAATCTTTTTTATTAGAGAATCTAATCTTTTTATTAGAGAATCTTTTATTAGAAAATTTTGATCAAAACTGTTTCTAGTTTTCTCCTCTAATTCCTTAGAAGACAAATTAGGCTCTTTACTAAAATTTTGTTTCTTTGACTGGAATGATGATCATTGTAATACTTTACTGATGGTTAACCATGTTTGAGAAAAATCTATGACTGCATGACTCTATACATCTCAGTACTCAAGAAGGATATCTTATGAGGATGTATCTTTAAATTTTGATCCATGTATTTGTCTTACCAGTTACACTCACAGTGTGAGTGCTCAGAAAATGTTGAATATTTTTCCTGGTATAGCCTTTATATTTCAGGGTAGCCCAGGAATTAACAATGGAAATTAAAATCAAATATGGGGAGGGTAAACTTGCATTTCAGAGAATGTTACCTGTTTTTGTTGCAGCAACCTGAAAAAAGGAAAGTTTAGAATATTAGAACCATAAAGAAAAACACCATTTTGGGAAATGTAAAACCTAAATCAGAGCAGTAATATACTTAGCACAACATGTTTATACATAGTGTGAGCAATCTTCCAATCCACACACAGTATTTATTTGCACAAATTATTTTCCAACACTCAAATCTACCACAATCCTAAATAAAATTGAGAGGATGGAGAGAGATCACATTCCTGTTTCATTTTTCTCCCTGAATCTGCCTATTGAACTAAGTCAGTAGCTGCTGATGGATTTTTCAGAAATCTTTGTTCTTAAAACATAATGATATTCTTGTTTTCTTTCACTAGTAAATTGCATTAAATTTCAAACGCACAAACATATACAATCTTGGTATGCCTCCAAAGTATTTTGATTTCCATCTCCCCACCCCTGAGGCCCTCAAAAAAAGAGAAAGATATTGAATGCATCTTTCTTTCCCCCTAAATAGTTGCAGGTAGGTCGGAATGGTGAACTCACCATTTTAAGGCAGATAAGACTGAATCCAATCACAGACAAACATTTCACCTGTCCACCAGCCATCCTGTTGGACTGAGCACTCACATGGCACACAACAAAGTGGGCAGGGTCCTCTTTGGTCCCCGGGTGGGCAGCACTGTCTGTCGCTGGGATGTGGGGCTGTGATTCTGGGAACAGACCCCGGGAAGTAGCTCCTCCCCTTCTGTGTGGAGCTGACCTGTAACGAGGGGCACCTGGAGACTGGCAGGTACAGGTATTGCAAAGACTGAAAAAAAAGAAGAGAGTGGAAGAAAGCTATGCCAAGCGGGTCAAAATGCTACTGTAACATGGGTTTCAAGGTGATGTGTAGAATGCTCCCCTTTTCTGTTAAAAATTCTTTTCTAAATAAAAATTTTATGAAGCTGTATAGAAATTATTGACATAGTGAAATGATCCTTTTAAACTTGGGGATCCTGACCCGTTTTATTTTTTCTTTTTCACCTTTATTTGTTGTTCTTATTGTTGTTTCAGTACAAAGTGATTGGTTCTGCTGTCGGCTGGTGTGGAGGTATTGGGGACATGTTGTTTAAGGGTAGAAACTTAAAACTAGTAGATAAAAAGTTCTGGGAATCTAACATACAACATAGTGATTATAGTTAACAATATCGTACTATAAACTTCAAAGGTGCTAAGAGACTAAATCTTAACTGTTCTCAACACAAAAAAGAAATGATAATTATGTGATGCGATAGGGATGTTAGCTAATGCTACTGTAGTAATCATATTACAATATATAAATGTATCAAAGTAACACCTGTACACCTCAAACTTATGCCTCAAACTTGACAGTGCTATGTGTCAGTTACATTCAAGAAAGGAAGGAAGGCAGGAAGGAAGGAAGGAAGGAAGGAAGGAAGGGAGGAAGGGAGGGAGGGGGAAAGGAAGAAAGAAAGGGAAAGGGCAGCAGCATGTCCCTGTGCTGAGAAAGACAATGGGAGGTCCTTAATGAGCACATTAAATCCATCCATCCCCAGTACCTCCCTGCCATTTACAAAAGGGATTACAAAAGTGGGGAGGAAGCATTTGTTCATTATCTGAATTATTGTAATGGTTTCATGTGTGTATACATATGTCAAAACATTGAGTTTATATTATAAATATGTGCAGTTTATGGTATGTCAGTTTTACACCACTGAAGTTGTTTAAAAAAATCAGTCTAACTCAGTGCTCTAAGATCTTTCTACTAAACCACTCTGTCTTCTATGAGTTGACTACTATGAATTCAAGGCATTTTCATTTGTGCATTTAACAAGTGTATATGGAGTACCTACTGTATACCAGGCATTGTTCTGGACACTGGGGATATAAACATAAGCAAACCAGAGCTCTATGCTCATGGAACACACACTCTAGCAGAGGAAGGCCAAAAGAAGCAGCTAACGTTAGAACTATCTAATGTCAGGTGTTGCTAAATGTTATGAAGAAAAATAAAGCAGAGTAACAGGAGAGAATATTGAGGGATAGAGTTTAGTTTGTGTACCATGGTCAGAGAGGACTTCTCCAGCAATGATGTGCTTGAGCATGGGCATCAGGGAAGTGAGGATGAGTCCCTTGGAAACCTAGGAAAAGAGCATGCCAGACAGAGGGAAGAGGAAGGGCTAGCTGAGTTTAGCTGAGTCTTTCTCAGGCTTGCCCTTAGCTAAGAGCTGCCTTGCTCAAAGTCACAACCTCTGCCCTGGGGTGTCCACATCTAAAGACTGGGAGATGAACAAATATAGTTTCGCCTTGCCTGATTTCAGGAGGGGAGAGCTGAATGGTGCACTATGGCATCTACCAGGGTCGGGGGAGGGTGAGACTAGAGAGGCACCTAGGGAGCAAAATTTTAAGGAGGCCCCACTCTCAGGTTCACACAAACCCAGAGTTCCAGAGGTTTATGGTCATGGATTCAAAGAGATGCCAGTCAGCATGATTGTGTATCTTTTCTGGTCATGTGCAGGCACAGAGTAGGCTGAGTTGTATTTAAGTAGGACTAGGGTATTACTAGACAAGTATGATGGAGAGAGACTGCAGCAAGGGAACTGAGAGTGTTTACAAGGAAGTGATTTATAACATTGGACTGTGGAAACTAAGCTGGGTGGGCAAGGAAGTGAGGCTTGCTGCCATGTCTCACTACCACGGAGGCAGGGGGGACTGCAATGCAGAGTGAAAAGTCAGCAGGAGCAATAGGCTGGAGAACCCAGTGGAGTTAAAGAATTGTCGGAAAGGATATGAGAGGGAAGTAAGCAGAAAATGGAGGAGTTGGTGAGTAGAAAATGGGATGTTTGAAATGGAAACTCCGGAGAAGTTTCAGTTATTGATGATGGGCCAGTTTTAGGATGTAACCATGGGAAATGGCAGCTGAGGTCAGGTGGAAGAAAAACATCATTGGAAGTCAGGCGATCAAGAAACTGAGAGGCCCAAGAATTGGAAAGATTGTTCAGTGGGTATTGGAATTACTAAGAATTCTAACAGTAGTGAGGAAAGAGGTATTGAGACGTTTGTTAAACTCTAAGGATTAAAATACTAGGGGAGTATCTTTTGAGGTCTGTGAATGACATGAACAACTGAGGGATAATGGATGGTATAATCTGATGACATGAACCTTAGAGGAGCTGGGAGGTTCAGGGAAAAGGGAGAAACAATGATCTGGAAGGACAATGATTTTATGTTAGCTACTGATTTCTGGCTAATGTCAACTTCTTAGTTGTTGTCAAACAGGTTATGTTTTATTGCTGAGCCATTCCATGGAGAAACAATGCATATAAAGCAGTTGTTTTGTAATATAAATTTACTTTAAAATTTTGAATTACTAAGCTTACCAACTGTCTGAAATTCTCTTTTCAGGAATGGGACTCCGCAAAGCAGTAAATGCTTGAGTTTTGGTCCTGAGGGGTACGGAGCTAAGACGATGAAGAGGTGAAGCAGTTATAAGAGTGAGTCTGTTTAGCGAATTCCCTGGTGGTCCAGTCAGTGGTTAGGACTCAGTGCTTTCACTGCCGGGACCAAGTTCAATCCCTGGTTGGGGAACTAAGATCCTGCAAACTGTACGGCGTGGCCAAAAAATAAATGAATAAAATTTAAAAATCAAGTTTAAAAATTTTAAAAAAATAATAAAAGTGAGTCTGTTTAAACATTCTTAGTGTACTAATGGGGTAATACTAGGAGAATCAAGATTAGTCAATCATCCAAAGTCCAAGAGAAGGGCTGAAAAATAAAAGACAAGAACGTCCCTGATGGCGCAGCGGTTGGGTGTCTGCCTGCTAATGCAGGTGTCACGGGTTTTATCCCTGGTCCGGGAAGATCCCACATGCCGTGGAGCAACTAAGCCCGTGCGCCACAACTACTGAGCCTGCGCTCTGGAGCCTGTGAGCCACAACTACTGAAGCCCGCGCGCCTAGAGCCCGTGCTCTGCGACAAGAGAAGCCACAGCGATGAGAAGCCCGCGCACCGCAAGGTAGAGCAGCCGCCACTCACCGCAACTAGAGAAAGCCCACGTGCAGCAACGAAGACCCAACTCAGCCAAAAATGAATAAATTTTTTAAAAAAGGTTAAAAAAAAAAAAGACAAGGGGTTGGAATGAGAGAGAAAATGTTAGGATGCTGTATAACAAGTCATCAGCTTTCTAACCCACAATACCTGTGTCCATGTTTCTTGACATCTAACCTCCTTTATTAAGCTAACGTTAAATATTTTAGTTTTTGTTACTTAGTATACAATTCCAGATTTCAAATCTGTAACGCTAGGATTTGTTTCGCTGAGAGTGACAGAAAACCTGTAAAGAAAGTGGCTTAAACAGAAGTTTCTTTCTGATATAAAATATTGGAGCAGAGCATCCAGGAGTGTATGGCAATTCTAGTCCATGGAGTCAGAGACCCAGGCTCCTTTCAATTCTTTAGTTGCTCATCTCTAGAATGAGGCCTTCTTTTTACTGATCCAAGATAAAGCTCCAGGTATCATATCAAATTTCTAAGCAGCAGAATTCAGTAAGGGGAGAGGGAAAAGATGAACTATATGCCAGTAAGCTCTTAAGAAAGGTTCCTTCTGCCACTTACATCCTGTTGGTCAGAAGTTGGTCTCATGGCTATGTCAACTGAGCTGAAAGGAAAAAAAAAAAAGGCATACACAGTCAAAAAATTCTATTGCTATGGAAGAAGGGAAGAATGGAGACTTAACAGTGGGCAGTCTCTGCCACACCAATGAACGAATAAGGTATAAGCATAAGGCATAAGCTTAGGGCAGAATTTGCAACATTTAACAGAAGGATAGAGAGAAATAAGGAGGAAAATGGGATAGATGTGACTGCAGCTAATCTTATAGTTTGGGGAAGAGAAGGCAGCAAGTATAGGGACTTTCCACTTCATAGTCTCTACGTGAAGTGAGTATGAGTATGGAGGTGGAGTAGGGGACTTAAGAAACTAGTGAAGCTTTGAAATACCCATTGTAGGGGAAATAAAAAGAATTGTTTAGTGATATAGAAGGAATACAGAGTAGACTTGATTGTCCAGGAAAAGACTGGACACTATGAGATTTACGGTTGTCCTCATTCATACTCCATCCTTCCACTATACCTGTACCTCCCCCTTTTGCTTTTGGGGAGACCATTTCTACCAAGGAAAAGGAATTGTACCTAGGACTTCTTTTTTGACTTCCTTGCCAAGTCCAATCAAGTAGATGACATTTTCTTACTGGTGCCGAGTGCAGACAGATAAGAATTAAATGTCAAGGAAATTGACAGGAAGACCTTCACTGATCAGGGATCCCTGGTGGTTACAATAGAACAAACTAGAGTTAGGCTCATGGTTCCAAGGAAGAGAAACTCAGGCTATCTTATGGGAAACAGAGGAATTGCAAGAATACCCACTGACCATACTGGAAAACAAAAAACACTAGAAAGCCAGCAAGAAGCGAGGCAGCTTCAGGGTAGTTATTTATCGTGGTATCTCTTTCACATGAGCCTCTTCATATCACAGCTATACAAGTCTTGTTCATTCTTCTAAGGACTGGACAATTTTTAGCTCTCAGTCAAAATTCTAGAAGGGGCCAGTCTGATTCATTTACATAATTC